TAAAATTCCATCAATGTCCTGAGTGGGGACAGAATTTGAGGGAATAATGTAAAAATGTAAAGGTTCATTCAGCTAATGTAAAGGCTTACGCTTAACAAAAAGGGGTTGAAATGATTTTGAATTACTGTAGAGGTTCGTCTATCTTACTAATATAAATGCGAAAGTTTACATGGACGGATTTGTGTTTGTTACAGTTTATAGCCTAAACTACGGAATAAACCTTAAAGAAATTTAGTACAGATGTAGATGGTAGCCTGGAACACATAGGCTACATTCTTTTGTTTTTTTTTTTAAATTCCACGCGGTCGGAGTCGCGTGCTAAAGCTATTTCTAAATATTTTAAAGAGGAAAGATTTGCATTTTTGTATTTATTGAGATAATTTGAATTACTGGACCGATTTCAGAAAGTCTTTAACATTTAAATAGCGTTATCAGTGAGTAACATAGGCTATACTTTTTATTGTGCTTTAATTTCACGCGGGCGAAGTCGCAAACAACAGCTAGTCAGTTATAAACTCATAATATTGCCAAATTAAATCGTTAAGTTACCTTCATAATTTACTATAAGAAATTAAGACTAAGTGTCTCCCTTAGTGTCTAATTACATTCTATTTTTGACCGACTCAATTCGTACGAAGGAGGTACTCAATTCGTCTGTATGTTTTTTTTTCATTTTCTACATTTAAATTTGCTCTATTATGCATTACATTTCTTTATTTTTATTATAATCAACTTTTCCAATTGTGGCTTATAATGCTCTTTCGACTGTACGTAATAGTAGTTTCTCTATGAACCATATTAAATCTAGAATCCCCGCTGGGACAAGCCTGTGCTTACGTCACTGTTAATTACGTTACTCCTTAAGTCATTAAAATATTATAATAAAGCAATTATGATATAATTATGCTGCCGTTGTGTTAACGTATAAATAATTTAGAAGCTAAATTTTAGTCAGTGATACGAAATGCGTGGGTCATATGTGACAATATAGCCAAGTTAAAAAAAATATTAAAACCAGTGCAAGAAAAAAGGCTTTTATGCTTTATTTTCATTACATCAGAAGAGATTAAGGTAAGTGGATGATTGTTTTTAATTTCCTGTTCCGGGTTGTCCGTTCTTTTGCGCTTTTGTAAAAATAACACATGTAAAGGAATTAAATACGATTAAGATTATGTGGATTTTTTTTTAATCCTGACCGTTAAGAAGCAATCTGCATATTACATTGTTTGTACCATACATTGACAAAAATATAAATTACTAGCTTTCGCCCGCGACTCCGTCTGCGTGGAATTAAAAAACAAAAAAAATGAGTAGCCTATGTGTTTTTCCAGACTATCCTCTACATCTATACCAAATTTCATCGAAATCCGTTCAGCTGTTTAGGCTACAAACTCGAACAAACATCCATCTATACATCTAAACTTTTGCATTTATAATGTTAGTATGATTAGTATGAAGAATGATTTTCATCTTCTTATTACTTCTACATCTTTTGCGCGGGAATATAATTTTCCCAGGGTTTATCGGCATCAAAAGATCTGAGTTCAACCCATAGTAATTGAAATAACAATTAAAATGTCATTAGTAGTACTAATGGTGATTATTATAAACGATACAACAGAAATTACAAGTAGAATGAGGAAGAAATAATTTTACAGAGCAAAATAATATTTTTTTTTCAGAAAAGAATGATTTCCTTGTATCTAGTCTTTTCAATCATGGTTGCTGGGTGTTTAAGTCAGAGACCATCTTACGCTGGGACCAGACCAATCGGATACCCGGCTGTTGAGGTAACTACAGAAGCACTTACAAGCGTTGGTTTGGACTCAAAGTAAGTGGGAACTTTTAAAGACTTAAATACACACAATCTCACTAGTATCATAAATGCGAAAGTTTATTTGGATGAATGGATGTTTGTTAGAGTTTGTAGCCTAAACGACTGAATGGACCTCAATTAAATTTGGCGTAAAGGTACTGGCTACTCACTTTTGTTTTTGTAACCCCGCGCGGACAGAGTCACGGGCGAATGCTAGTTAGTATTTTTATAAATCATTGATCAAGTTGTTCTATCTTTATATGAATCTTTTCTGTTTTCCACATTTTTCAATTAATTTGAAAAAAATTAAGCTACCAAAATAAAGATATCGTTTTCATCACTACTAATGTTTAGTGAAAAAGACTTTTAAACAATATTAACAAATTTCAATTTACTTGTACACAAGATTGAAGAAGTATTTTACACCATTTAAATAATTATTTATTATTAATTTTAGGTTAGGATCTGGTATAACAGCGACAATAACAACGGAAAGACTACCTCTTGAAGCTTTGGGAGACAGAAGGCTGGTCGAAACTCTTCTCAAACAGCCTTTAGATAAACAGCCTTTCTGGTTAATCAATTGGAAGAAATTAGAAGAGAACAGAACTAAACCGAAGACCTATCCACTCAAACAAAATTCATACCTTCATCATATAGCCACATCTTTTCTTCAACCTGTACAGTTTCCTTATCTACAAAGATTTGTATGAAATCTACCATATTATTTTTGTTATAAATAAATTAACCTTGTAAGTAAAATAAATTAATTTTTATATAGGTAGTTAATTTTTGGTTTTCGCACAGTTTTTAAGGGTAAATAACACGTAAAAGTTATATAATCATTTTTGTTAAATCAAATCAAGTTTTCAAACGACACTCTTGAACGAGGAGATACCTAAAAATAATTCTGTTACCATAAATTTGGGTTATATCAAATAGGAAACTACGAATTAAAAACAAAAAGAAGTAAAATGTCACTTTTCTATTCTATTGCAACTATTCAAAACATCCATTGTATCGCAAAAAAGTAAAAATGATAAGTATGACCATAGATAATAAATACTATACTAGTATAACAAACTAAATTTTGTGTTAATGTAATTTTAGATTGCACAAAAGAGTACAATCTTGCGGCAGGCTATTGTTGGCACACGGCGCTTCTTGAATATGTATCAACTATCTCTTAGAGTGGATCTCTGGATTTTTATAGTTCAGGCCTCAGTGGATTTAACGTTACCAACGCCTATAAAAGTTTCTTTAGAAATTCCATTAAAATATATTCTTTAGATGTGAAAATATGCTTTAAAGATTCACTAAGTTTTGGATTAAATCTAATTAAGATTACGTGATTAAAAATTAATGCTGTACATTACGAAAAAAAAACTGTTTATCAAATAGTTCATTTGTTTTGTGTTTGATTGATTAGTTTTCATTTTTCTACGCTTACGTCTACAAATTCGCCTGTTCTATCAATACGTTATATCTGTACGTAGAACATAAAGTTTGTGACCCAAATAACCACACATGTAAGGAGTAAAAAATAACTGTTTTTGAATTTTTTTGTTGCATTCCGACAGTTTATACGCTACTGAATAAGTACGCACCGGGAGGAATTTCAATTTATTTCTCGTTTAAATTCCCAGCGAGTTCCCAGGGCGGTGACATTTCACCTCCTACCTCTAACCAATCATTTATTTAAACCTATATTTACAATTCGCGATTCCACAATCCATCCAATATCCAATTTGGAGTTGTATTTATTTATTGCACAAACTCATTAACAATTGTTTACACAGATGATTTCAGTCAATTTATTTCACTGGAAATAAATCAATATTTCATTGCAAAAAAGCCTAGTTTCTTTACATTTCAGCGACTTTTTCTTAAGATAGTTAACGACTGTAGTACACTTCATCTTACTAGTTCAGCAATTGTCACTTTGATCAAAGTTTTTGCGTAGACTTTCCTAACACCGCAATTATTTATAACAAAAGTACGACAACTCCAATTAAGTATTTAGAAAAGGAGAAAGAGTCAGTTAAATCTAATAAGATTTTCAATACCATATGCTTAAGGAAACCTAAAGGTGGAAACCATTACAAACTCCATAAGCAAAAGTCGTGGGTTACTGCTAATGTTTCAAATAACACTAGACCAACATTATCCAGTTCTTTTTATTTCCGTTACGAAAAGATTACATTTACGTGAGAAACTAACCTATCTCTATTCGATTTTACATGACATTTAACACCTCGCTTTGATAAATCAAATTCTCCTCGAAGAGTTACACCGAAATGTCATGACACTGGATTACGTGCTGGGAATTTCAACGAGCTCCGAATTGAAATTCCACTTGGTGCGTACCCATTTCATTAACTCTGTGTATATTGATGGAAAAAAACAATTTTTATACATCTATATTAAATAATCAACTGCCTTCAAATTCTACTGTTAATCTTCGATGCATCATTATAAAAATTCCCTTCTTCTTCTGTATCCACTACGACATCTTCTACAAAAAAGACAAGCATCGATCTTTTATGAAAATAAGACAGCAACATTCTGAGCTTCTAAGATATTCAAAAGTTAAAATAATTGTTTAAAACAAAAAAGAAACATTATTTTTATTCAAGCATTCCCAACTCTATAAAACTTTAAGTTCTATTATAAGAGTCTTTACAACTAAAGTTGTGACTTGATTTACATAACATTAACCATGGAATAAACGCATGTGGACATAATATATGAACGCTTGCTAGAAGATGTGTCTTAACATGTGCAGTCTAGTGTTACTCTCATGAGAATTTCGCGACAAACTTTAACCTTCGCATTTGCACACGGCTCGAGAAGACTTGTGGAAACAACTATTTATACATTATTCAACTTATTTTAGAATATGTCTGCAATGTGATAAGATTTTTTTGCTTTAAAGTAATATTTGGATTCAGTCTTGGTTGATTCTGTATGATTTGCTTTTACTTGTATATAGTATTTATTGAAATTGGCTTAGCAGTTTTTGAGTTATTTCACTAGATACAAAAATCCAAAAATGCACATCTTTCTTCTTTACAATGTTATTAGTATAGGTATATTTATTACTTTGGTAAACTTTATTTTTGGTCAGTCTATGCAAGGCAACATTTAAATTGAAAAATATGGATTGTCAAAATATAGTATGGAAATCAGATTAGCAAATATTGTCATAAGAATTCATCAAACGATGATTCCAAAAACCAATTACAGCATTAATTGTGTTTATGAATTGGAAAATTGTCCGGATTGCGATAAGGAAATCTCAAATTTAATTGAATCGATCTAAGGAAAGTACCAGAAGATTACATTTGAGAGTTTACATTTCATTTACGATGAATTACTTGACAGTAATTCTTGTCATCATAAAATGTAAGTTTTAAAAACCTTACTTTTTGGATCATAGTTGTATAAAATGGAAAGTTAACAATAAAAATGGCTTGGATTATTTCAGGTATCACATTTATCACCTGTCTCAAATGTAACATAAAATGCCCAAATGAAGACAGATTTGAATGCGGCTTGGATATGAAAAATTCTGCTTACAAATTGTTTACTAACGCATGCTCTATGAAGGCTTATGCGCGCTGTACTGGGAGCGGTAATTATATATTTATTTGTCTAATATTTTCAACAAGCATCAAGTTATTTAAAAAAAACAATAGAGGTGTGCCAGAAGGAATTGTATTATATTGGCCTGTTCTTATATTTGTGTTACGAATCTGAATATTGACCATGGCAATATTTCTTGCCCTAGAACCTATTTCCACGTAGCCGCTAACGGCGCAACTGTCATTACAGCAGTCGCAGTCGCTCCAGTCGAAATATGCAACAATGAATAGCGCTTTCAAACGGACAGTCGCGCAGTTAACAGTGAAGTGGAGACAGGCACTTAGACAATCTTATTAAAATTATCTTTGTTCACAGAATACATTCCCGTACCATTAAGTTCTTGTATGAGGAAACATAATAGACAAATTATAAGAAAAATGTATAAAAGCATATATGGTGATAGTTGTCCTACATTTTGTCCTGAATATTACCGTCCTGTTTGTGGTGTATCACAACTGAGGGATTACGAATATAAAACATTTAGAAACGGTTGTTACTTCGATTTGGTGAATTGTAGAGGCATTGAAGATTATTGTAAGTATCATATAATTCTTTTATTTTCAATTAAAGCGTGCGAACATCTGAAACTAAACTATCGCACAACTGTTTAGTCTAGCTTTGATTCCTATGAACTTAAATGAAGATGAGAACAATCGATTTTTTAGTTGTGTAAATAAACTGTCGAATGGGTTGCGAAACAATTGACAATCTCACAATAGTTTTGTTATAGTTTAGTCAGCAGTGTGCACCCGCTCATAGGGGTTATGCACTTATGCAGGTCCGGGGTTCGAATTCTACCATGTACTAAAATGTTTTTGATTCGAATTTTAAATGTGTAGTTGATTGAAGCTCTTTTTCAATCAATTAGTTTACTACAAAATTCTGAGTCGTCACGAGTCAAATTTAATATTTATTTTGAAAAGTCGCATTTAGAAGTTGGATGATATTTACTAATTTTACATTTATTTTTACAGCATATCAAGAAGTATCTTTGAAATTCTGTCAAAATCATTATATGAAAAATATATTCTCGGAGCAACTGATTACAAATAACATGAAGAAGTACAAGGAATTTTTGTCGTGAACACGATTTGAAATAAAATAGGCAAAAACAACGATGCTTTAGTTTACATTACTTCTATTTATATTGATGTCACCGACCGATCATGAATTTCGCTATTTTTTAAGTTCCCTGAGCGATAAGAAAGAACTTGGAAAATCTGATACAGGACATTAAGAAAGATACAAAATAAAAAAGTTATGTTTATTGACAATTTAAAATTGTCTAGACAAATTACGACCGGACGGCATTGGAGATAGAATATGCAACATTGCACACAAGCTTCCCTTACACTATTAGTATTCCTTCAACAAAGTAGTTAATAGCTTCTTGCAACTTCCATGCTCAATCAAGCTTAACCACAGAGCGGTCCAAACTATAAAGTTTAGCGCTAATTACCTGTTCCGATACTGTAGTCTTAGTTCCTCTGCCATTATTTTATGTTACGTATAAAATTATGGTATATCGTATGTTCTCAGTCATAATTATATTCTATAAGAAAATTTACATACTGTCAAACAGAAAATTATGCGATATCCCATACTTTAGTACAGAATTAATAATAAAATTCAATTAGAACGTGGCAATGAAATACAAATTCAAATCTAATATGATTGATTAAAGAGGCAGCCATATTGCTTTCGTCAAATCATCCATTTTTTTTTCCACTGCCTGGTAATCTATTGCTTCATTTTATCACAATCTCGGTACCGTTACAAACAAAATAAAATTACATAAATTGTATTACATTTACATAATTTCTAAATAAAGTAGATTGAGAGCAGCGAAACAATACTAAACGAAATTACCGATTTGATTACTTCGACATTTGCCGAGTTTTAATATATTTTTTTAGTTAATAGCTAATACACTATAAAGTGTTATAATTCACAACCAGCCGGTAACATTTTCACAATATTTATAATGTCTAAAGACAAGTGTTACAAAATACATTTTAAAAGTGCATTCAAGAGAAGTGAAGGAAATAAGCTTTTAGAAAATCACCTAAGAACGTTGGATCTCATTTCCTTCTTGAATGGCAATTTATATTATATTTAAGACCATCTTCGAAGAAACTGCGTCTAATAATGCATTTTTGTATTACTGCAAGCAGACTATATATATTTTACTGTCTTAAAGGCAAACAACATATCATCAATTCCTTCGATAAATCTCTGTTCACGCCCTTTGCCCTCTTTTTCAAAATTCTATTCCATGTTTGTGGAAATAAATAATATACTTTGTTTGATTTGAAATTCCAAAGCAAAGTATATTGACGTAAATTTACTTATCTAAACAAGACAATACAGGTTCGTATTAACAAAAAAACTCGTAAAACGAAGGCGCACATAAAAACAAATTAACTGTGCGAATGATTCGAGCCCTAAACTGTAATCGTGACTTCGGGTCATCCATTATCAAGGTTTACGATTTTGTTAGCTCACCATAAGTTTACCTTAAACACGGTAGTTAAAAATAAACGAAATGGAAGTGTCTTTTCAAATTAGTAATAAAGGAACAGCGTAAAAATCTAGTAAGTAGGAAGAGCGTCGGTGGCTCAGGGGTTTAAGCGCTTGACTTGTAATCTAAAGGTTTTGGGTTCTAATCCCCCCAAAATTTGAATTTCATATGTACATAATTTTCTTAACGTTCTTACAGTGAAGGTAAACATTGTGATAAAATTCGCAGTGGGCCAGGGTGTTTGACTATGGTTTAGTCACCCTGATAGACTCCGAGCCGCAGTTAGGACTTCAAAAATATTATATTTTCCGGTCAAAATTCTCACATTTTTGTTTTAGAGAGGAATAAAAATAATAAAATTTACCATTGACTGTGCTCGGCCTTTTGTAAATGGGAGCTGAAATTGCATTGCATCAATAACATTGGCAGATCTGAAGGAAAATGCTCGGGTATACTAAATTTATATTTTACTTGATGGATCACTGACTTTATATTTTCATTGTAAGTTTCAATACTTTAGTTAAAAATTATAAATATTTGAAATAATACACCAACATAGTTGAAAAGTAATTAATTTTTAGTTTTGTTATAAAAAGTAACATTAAATATATCGCGTTTTATTAACGGTTTAGTGAAAAAATAAAATGAATTTGTAAAATATGTAAGAGTCCTTTTATTGTGTATATCAAAAGCAATTAAACGAAAGTTGAAAACATTCTTTCGTCAAAGCCTTAATTTAACTTTTGAGATAATATTTCAAAACTTTGCTTTATTGAAAGACAAAACTAAGCAAATGTTTTAAGTTTGACGAGTTTTGAGAAAGTAAGCTAACAAACTTAACATCAAGTGTCGAACTAATTGTTTAAAATTATCTCTATTCAGTATTTAATTTGACAAACAGCATTAAGCATATTACAATTAAAAAAAAGCTAAAAGAATAATCTAAAGGAAAGTTTAGATGGATGTTTGTTAGAATTTGTAGCTTAAACGTTTCAACGGATCTCGATGAAATTTGGCATATATGAGGCAGTTCCACTACAGCTACTTTACACCTTCGTTTTTTTTTTTTTAAATATATGATAATAATTAATAATTACCAAATCTTTTTGAAAATTACCTGTCATACTTATTTAGCTTTTACTATGCTTGGGTTTTTTACCATGCACTAACAGGCTTATCTAATTCATTGTCTTAAGCGCCACTTTCAGCGCCCTGTGCGGCTGCTTACCGCAGCCTAATCCCGCACGGTTACCTCACCTTTTACGTTAAAATTTTAGTTCGACCCCTGAATTTACTTTGGATCCCAAAGGAGAGAAGTTATTATGGACCGAAAATTTCTGACTCGGCGCTTAAATTGGCATTTTTTTAGATAAATAACATACTTAAGAAAGTGTCCCTTTACAAAAACACTGGATTAGCATACTGATTAACATATTGCTTAAGCCGTTATTTGGGTAAAAACACAAGACTTTATTAAGGTCCTTTCACTTTTTTCGTGGACGTTATCATACAATTTCACATAAACCTTTAAAAGATATTAAGGGGAACATTATCTAGAAGTAAAGCTGCACAAGCACTTTCGCAAATTATACCTATCTATTAGACATGAAAGCTATTACCAAGTCAATGGGACGTTATAATATCAAAACGATTATACGAAAACGATCAAGCCCAACATTAGTCCCTTTTCCTTCCCACCCTTTTTCTTATAAGATAAGGATGGGAAGGGAACGTGGATCTGATGCCGGAGGAGACTCATAGAAAGGAGAAGTATCCTCTTCATGTACGTTTCCTCCAACGTCGATTAAGGGTAGGCAACGCGACCTATTGCAAATGTCTATAGGCAGCTGTCGCTTCGTCATTCTGGAATTTTGCCACCTTAAGATAAAAAAAGCGATTCGAAATGTGAAAAAGTGTATTGTATTTCGGAATCCACTTTTTTTTCTATTTTTCAACTACTAAGTTATATTTTCCACTAATTAAATAAATAATAAATAAATTTTAAATGCCAGACTGTTCATCATCATCAGTATCATTACAAACTTTTAGACATGTCATAATGGTTTCCATACAATCATAAAAATTAAAACCTAACAAAAATATTACCCTACTTTAAATTGGGCAACAGTTATTAGTTATTAGATATTTTTAACTCCCGGAAGATAAAACTTTAAACACAATTTTATTCAAACATCACAATAAATTAAAAAAATGAATTAATTATTTCATATTTGACATTTTTACCCACTTTGTAGATTGTTTGGATTTTATTGTGGCATTACAGGCATCTGTCTAGACAATTCGAGTTAAATACTTGTATAAAATGAGAGTCCTATCTTTAAGTTGCCAGTTAAACAATATTTCGCATTTTGTAGCATCGTTTAACTGAATCTGTTGTTTGAACAATTTCATTGAGATGTTATTGATATATTTAGAAATATTAGATAAAATATATATAAGCTAATTACTATTTACTAGCTGTTGCTCGCGAATTCGTCCACGCGAAACTAAATTATGTAGCCTATCTTATTCAGCGATAACTTATCTTTTTAATGGTGAAAGAACTTTTGAAATCAGACCAGTAGTTTTTTAGGTAAATCCAAAAATACAAATCATTTTTTCTATATACTGCTAATAGTAGTTTAGATTGAGTAATATTTTATGTTTACTTTTACAATAAGATTTAGTGATTATTATTTCCGTAGAGTCCTATCGAACTTATAATTCCCGTCAATTATTTAATGACAACTCATCATCCACTTGCCCTTATCCCTTATGGAGGGTCGGCACAGTATGTGCTGCTCTTCCATACATCTCTATCAGCCGTCATATCTGAATCCACTCCTTTCTTAAGCATATCTTCCTTCACACAATCCATCCATACTTTCTTCGGTCTTCCTTATTATTTAATGACAACTATCTTATATTATTCCCAGTTTTTTTTTTTCATTTATTCTGGATTAAGGATTAGGTCCAACATATTTTCACCATTACAATCGTAATGTTTCTTCTATAGAAATTAGAACATAAGCTGGGATATAAAAATATTTATTTTTATTTGAGCACGTTAACTAATTATTTTTGAATAGAATAAAGATGCATGGTGAGGCGTGGCAAGGATATTTTTATACTTGACTTGTACTAAGGACAACAAAGAAAACGTTAGGAATTAAATCATAATGGATTTTTTAATATTTATTATTACTCATATCTATAATTTTACATGATTTTTTATTTAATAAAAATAAAACACATTATATAAAAAAATAGAAGACCACCGGCTGCAGAATCCGATGACTCAAGCAACCAGTGGTCAGGCCAGCAGAGACAATATATGTTCATTATATTTATATATGAACAATAAACTTCTAATTTACTTTAATTAAAAGTTTGCCTTAATTTTGGTTTATAGGTTGGTTGAATGGACTTTGTCGCTGTTCGTAAGTCTGAGGTGTTCTCCTGTTCGCTTCTAAAGCTCTCCAGTTAATGAACCAGAATGGTTGTTTGTCTAAAGGCAGCCTGCTTATGCGCATCACCAGGTCTCTGTCATTTAACGCATCAAGAGGTAGTATTTGAAGTCGCTCATCGTCACCGAATCTGTAATAAGAGATCGATTAGGCAACACATCTGAAATTGTCTATGGCCAGTGGTGGGATTCAAGTGACCGCTTAATCGTTTGCCATCTTAATATAAAAAAATCAATATCTTAATAAAATACAGTTCTGTAATAGTTAGAATTCTCCTCAAAGTCTCATTCATACAAACGTTTTTCTAACGCGCGTTAAAAAAGTTTTACTAGAATAAATGGATTTTCAAGCAGTTTTGGAAATTTATATCGCAGTGGTGCTTTTCGAGTACTGTGCGAAAGGAACAAGTGTGATTTTAAAACGTTCGTAGGAGCAAGTGCGTTAAAAAACGCCAACTACAATATTTTCCAGTACAAGTATCACTAGTGAAAAGTCTAAGTGACTTCAAATATTGTAATATAGTAACTTGTATTTACATACCTGTTTCCTAGTAAACCAGAAGAAGGAGTAGTTTCGACTGCTGGGTATCCTATCGGTCTGTTTCCAGCGTAAGATGGTCTTTGACTCAGGCAGCCGATAATAAGAAGAGAGAATGCTATGTAATGTACTATTGACATTTTGAGGTTATCTGTAAATTTATAAATAGGTATTTCAGACACACACATTCTAACATTTCGTCTGTGTCTACTTTTTACGAATTTAATAAAGCATTATATATGTTATTCTTTTATTAATGGATACAATTAAAACACGCTTGATAAAATAATGTTAAATTAAAAATACATTAAACCTTTAAAATTGTTTAGAAAGAGTAATTAAATAAAAATACAGACATTTCTGTATTCAACGTAGCGAAATTAAACACCAACAATTATGTTAAAACAGAAGAACAGTATACGGTTATCTTATTCAGTTGTTATTTCAAAGCACATTAAGATTATTGCGTTGAAAGGTTATCAAATAATAAGAATAATTTAAGTGATGCAGAACGCCTTTTTATAAACAAATGGCAAACTAGTTAACTGCTATCTGAATTCGCGGAAATAGCCAAAATAACATCTGCCCAAAGATATGTACAATTGCATGCGTTACCTATGTACTTTTAATTGACGGGCACACTTTACACATAAAACTCTGATCTTCACATCCTTTCCTTATAAAAAAGGAATAGAAGGGGCTAAAATAATGGGTCTAATAAATGCGAATTTTACATTTCTTTCACTTACCTTTATGAAGTTGTTTTACCACTTATTATTTCTACTTGAAGTCGCTTGTTACTTTCACAGATATTTGCTTTATAAAGTTGAAACGGCAAATGTAAATATTTATAAACGACTGATTACTTGGAAACTAAATTTATCATGATAACAGATGTACTGTGGTAAACAAACTAAGGCAAACGTCCAATCACTTCATATTATAAACCATTAATTTGAATAAATAAGAACGAGATAGCCTATTATAAAGTTTCTGTGAGGAAAGGAAACAACGTTTTACATATGATAAGATGTTAATTTTACGCTTTTATGTGATTTTACTCGGGTTTTACCAACGGGGAGTATCACAAACAGGTTATATCTCCTTTTTTTTCAATGAAGACGTAAAATGCATCTATGACGCTTACAAAACAAGTTTGCACAACTGGATAACGATGTTTTTGTGAGATTTAACTATGGTAAAATTGACTTCATTCTGTTATTTCGAATAAATTTTATTTATTTTTTTTTTTATAACATAAGGTGGCAAACGAGCAAGCGGCCACCTGAAATCGCCAAAATGGCGAAGCGACCGCTGCCCACAGACATCCGCAATTGCAGATGCGTTGCCTACCCTTATCCGACGGAGGAGGAGACGCACATAAAGAGGATATTTCCCCTTCCTATGCATCTCCTCCACTGTCAAATCCACTTCCTGTTCCCAACCTCTCTTTATAAGAAAAGGGTGGTAAAGAGAAAGGGACTTAAATTAGGCCTCCGGCACCACACTTATCAGACGAAACACGGAATTGTTTCCATTTCACGCCTGTCTTCTGTGTGGTCGTGGTATTACACCGGGCGTGCTGGCCCATTCGTGCTAAGATGTTAAAGCGGGCACTACCACTGTTATAAATACTATTATTTGATAATCTTACTAATCTTACTAATATTATAAATGCGAAAGTTTAGATGGATGGATGGATGGATGTTTGTTAGCGTTTATAGCCTAAACGGCTGAACGGGTCTCTATGAAATTTGGTACAGGTTACAAGCATAGTCTGGAAGAACACATAGGCTACTTTTTATCCCGGGAATAGTTACGGTTCCCGTGGGATTCATTAATTTAGTTTTTTAATGTTTACTCATCTAATCTAGCTTCATCCCCAGAAATATCCGGTTCTAGAGGGATACGTAACCTTTTGTTAATTTATATAGTTTGCATGTTTTCGTTTTGTATGCTCGTATAGTAATAAAATTTGATTTATAAAGGCAAGCTAAAGATGTTTGGTAAATGAACATTAAACAAATTAAGCCCTACACTTAAAATACGCTTAAGGCTATATATTTTCACGCTATTAAACTCAGGGGATAAATAAATTGGAAAAACCTCCATGTGGCAAAGCGTCCATTAACTACAACCTGCCAACATTGAGGAAGCAAGGTTATTATAGCAACGGTAATTTTGACAATTGCAATTGAGAATTTGACAAATGTAAACAACTAAAAAGTTTTTATAAATACATGCGGATGAAGCCACACGGGAACAGCTAGTGTTACACTATAGATAAGAATTGTTACGCGAAAATGTACAGATGACGTTTGTTGACGTGTTGGTACGTCATTTATGCTTATCGTATGTCATGTTAAATCCCGTAACGTTGGTAAAAACGCACCTTTAGATTGGAAGTTTCTTCTAGGAAATTTTGTTATAATAAATCACAGTTGATTACATCGTTATCGATGACCCGGAGTTCAGTGACCTCTGTGATAATGCCATTTGAAGGAAATAATTGAAATTAATTCAAGTATCCTGTGGGTGTACCATATTTATTGGAATTTACTTCTTAGAAATTCCGAGAACATCTTGTCACTTGACATGATAAATATGACACTAAGAATATTACTTACCAGCTGTTGCCCGCGACTCCATCCGCATGGAGTTAAAAAAAAACAAAAGTGAGTAGGCTATGTGTTCTTCAAGACCATCCTCTACATCTATGTCAAATTTGACATCCGTTCGGCAGTTTGGTTAACAAACTCTAACAAACATTCATCCATCCATCTAAACTTTCGCATTTATAAAAGTAACAAATAAGATTGAATACGGCGAGATAAAGTTTACCTCAAAAACATGGAAATCGTACCACTAGAACAAAACAATATTTCACCAAAACTTTATTTAAACCAAATTATGAATAACTAGCTGTTCCCGTGCGGCTTTATCCTCATGAAATGATGAAAATTATATTTTCTTGTTTACATTTGTCAAATTAGCAATTGCAAATATCAAAATGACATGACATGATGACAAACCATGGCAATGTTATTTCCTTGATGTTGGCAGCTTGTAGTTTATAGACCCTTTCCCACATGGAGGTGTTTTTCAAATTTATTTATCTCCTAGCGTGAAAATGTATAACATAAAGCGTGTTGTAAGTGTAGGTCTTTTTGACCGACTTCCCAAAAGAAGGGGGCACTCAATTCGTCTGTATATTTTTTTTTATTAAAGAGAAAAATATTAAAAAACATGCTGTGATTGCTGACATCCTGCGCCACAAAGTATGTATGCTGTGTATATTAGTATAGAGTGCAGATTAAGACACAAAATTATCTTAAAAAATCCGATAGGAATTGGTACGATAGGAAATAATTTTGAATTGTTTTTATTTAATCCTGTTACAGAAAGCTTTAAAAGAACAAAATATTGATCACACACAGTCAAATGTGTAATTAAAATTATAATTAACAGGTTTACCAACACACATATTATTAACTGTACAGTCCGGCTGTGTGTATTCAGTTTAAACTGAAGGTGTAGGATTTACGGAAACTATGGCTTATACAATAATATTTCTCTTGGCTTGCAAATAAATCTCTCGATCTTCATCCATCTTTGTCATAAACATGTACATTCATGACCGAATAATACGATTTTAATAAATATGTAATGAAAGCTTGATTGAAGATAAGCACAGTGAAGTGTGTAACATTCAGAAGAAAATAATAAAAAAAAAACAGTTTTGATACTTTGTGAGTTTTTGTGAAAATAAGTATTAACACATCTCTCATATTTTATTTGATCTAAATATTTTTACTGCCAGATATTTTTTTTAACCCCGTAAAAATTATACAAACAAAAGGTCGACTTTAATTTGCACGGTTTTTGAAAATTACCATAATAATGTAATTGGAGAAAAACTTGTTGACAACCTGTCCTTTACTTTAGAAACATTTCTTAAGTAATCAAGAATGGATTTTCGTTTCAAGTAAAAGATTTTTTTAACAAGAAATGGAACGATGTAGTTACAATGTTGTTGATATTTTCATAATTCGAAAAAACTCAGCATAAAATCATTTATATCACAGGTTTGTAATCTATTTTGTCATTCAAATATCCCAAATAATAACACTGTTATCGAACTTTTATTGTTTTAAAAAATATTTTACGTTTTCTAACGTATTCTAAAATACTTAATTTTATCATTGTATTTACACATTTTTTTTTAAATTGGATTTTACCATAGTTTTTTTTGACAAATAATCATAAAGTTTATTATGGTATAACAAAACAACAACAGTTAGTAGCAAAAAGCAAATTAATTCCAAATTTAAATACTTTGCTAGCCTTGTTAAACTTGTGGACGACATTAAATTAAATAGGCCACTTAAGGGACGAGTTAATGGAACTGTATTGATCTTTGAATTATATTTTGCGATACTTTAAAGATGTGATTATTTTTATAACCTTTCTTGAATTAATTACTGTTTGAGATGTTGCGTTGAATAAATTAAACTTCTTTGCGTATAACACGTTTATTTCGGCCACTTTACAATGATAGGTGAAGGGACGAGAGTTTCGACAGCGGGTGAAGAACGGAAGCGAAAGAGGGAGAAGAACACGCGTCATCGTCTTATATACCCCGTCATCGATGCTAGGATTGGCCTGCCGGTCTAATTTTAATTAGTGATTTAGCGTATGACGTCGACCGACAGACCAATCGTACATCGACGACGGGGTGCAGCAGCGCAGCGGGAGCCACCGGGGGTCGCCGACGTGTGACAGCGGCACAGGTGGGGCGGCTGCTGACGTCACGGCCGCAACAATTACTATTCTTTTGCGAAATCAAGAAATCAGATAATCAATGGCGGAATCTAAAAAAGAATCATGAATTGAATTTGGAACATCGATCTGAATTACGATATTCCAAAAAATGATTAAAGTCAAGAAATTTTCAAACATCGTTTGTGTAGCATAATTTAAAAGAAAATTTATTGACGGGCTCCCCTAAGTTCTACTCAGTTTGTTCAAGTAATCAACAATGTTTTTCGTGTTACGTAACGGACAGACATTGCCGAAAACACGGACTCGTTTCTATATAGTGAAACAAGTATACCGTATAGCTGTTTGTGTTTGTTGTAACTCGAAGTTACGGCTTTTGACGTCGTTGTTTACCTGTGAACAACATTGTATCTTTTTTGTATTTAACATTGTAATGACCGTATTTGTCCAAACAGTTTTATGTAATGTTATAAAATTCGTATTAATTCTTATACGAATTGTACTTAACCGGTCGTATAATGAAACGAATCTTAAACAATTCGCTTCGTAAACTTACGATTGTAAGACAGACGTGCAAATTTAGGTTTTCATCGTGGCGTTTCATTTAGCACGATTTGAAATTTAATTAATTATTTCAGTATTCCATTAAAAATATATCCATACTTTTTAAGGCAGTATATCTGTATGTTTTTACGACGGCATCTTGAATGTGATATCTTTTGGAGATCCTTCCCTTTCGATACCATAAAACGTGTCAGCAGTGGAAACACACTCAAAAGATACTCAACAAAGCGCAATGAGTGCAGTAAGAATATTAATCTAACGTTTTGATTAAATTTTGCTCGGAAACGTTTTCTTTGTTCTAAAAGTAAATTTATAGTACTTGGTTTCAAGTTACGAAATGAAGTCTGGAATTAGCTCATTACTTTCGAGATGCATAGCTAATAATAAGTCAAGTCGTATATTTTCCTTATTTTAGAATGTAATCTTAAAATTTGACCTCATTTATAATCTTTCTTTAGCATAGTGTTCGAGTGTTTATAGTTGCTTGTGGATAAGATATATAGTATATTTTAATTTTATTAGACCAGCTTACGTTATAACGTCTGTGTAAAAAGAAACAATCGTAAGCAGCTTATGTGTACTTCCAGACTATGCATTCATCCATTCATCTAAACTTTCGAACTTGTAATATTACTAAGAAGTAGAATTAACCTAAATCACTGTGTTTATTTAATTTCCATGTTTTAGTCAGGGTGGGCGGTTATTCTTCTAAATTTAATCGCTTTTATTAATATATTTATTGTCTTTTGATTCATAAATTTGGTTGTATTTTATCGTAGGCCGATATAAAGCTCTGTCTCCATTGTTTATATTATTTCAAGAAAGAACAATTAATTGTTTTATATTGATAAAGTTTTACAATGAAGTGCCTAAATTTAGGAAAGCGACAGAAATCGTTTACGAGCCGGGTGTAAATTAATAATCACAATTTCATTGAAATGCTTATAAAGTTTGTCAAAGTTATGAACAACTTTAAAATTTAATAGAACTCTTGAGAGACGGGTTAATGAAAACAAATTGACCCTTAAAGTTGTGTTCAAGTAACTTTTGGTAGTAAGTGTTTGGCTGTACTAGGATTTACTTTACTTAAAGGGTTAGAACAACTAACTCACTGGGACATAACCCATAAAGGTACATTTCGCTCGCTTCTTTCACATTTCTACATCCACGGGTGCATGCTCGACTATTTCGGGTACTTTGAATTCCGCCTTTCTTGAGTATGTCATCAATCTGGTCGGTATAAATTAGTCTATGACAAACCTGCAACTCACATTTAAAAAATATTGTAAATCTTTCATCGTGGACCCTTTTAAAAGGTAGTGATTATTTTACTCATCATCAACTTGTCCTTATCCCTTATGGAAGGGCGGCACAGTATGTGCTGCTCTTCCGTACATCTCGATCAGCCGTCATATTTGAATCCACTCCTTTCTTAAGCATATCCTCTTTCACACAAGCCATCCATCTATCTTTCATACTTTCTTCGGTCTTCCCCTTCCTTTGTAGCCATCCACATTCATTCTTAACACTTTCAGGTTTATGTCCCCATCGTCTCGTCGCATAACATGTCCATACCACGTTAACCTTTTGCTTCTCAATTACTCCACCACTGGCGATTATTTTACTCCGAGTAAAAATATAGAACACATTTAAGACCAAGAATCCTTTATTAGCAGGAATAGCTTTATTGTACATAAATAGTATTTACTTAAGTAAATTATGACTCTATTAAATTCAAAACTTTTTATAAAAATAAAGTCTAAAAATGTCTGTAATTTTGTTCACATCTCTACGACAAAACGTTTAAAACTAAAAATGTCACTATAAGATACAAAGTCATTCGTTTTGTCGTCGTCGGGTCTGAACTATTATCATCTACAACTTCTTTGCAACATTTAGTACCTATTTCCACTACCTTTGGATAGAAATCTGTCCAGAATTCGAAAGCTTTATAATTAACATTGTCAGTCGTGCTCATTGTAAAATTCTGTCTGTCTATAATAAAAAATCCAGGTTTTTCTATTTCAAATGCATCCCATTGAATAATAACACCTGAGTTGGTAGGATTAGAATACCATGCAAAATTACTCCACATTTTCATAATAACGTCTGATATACTTTTGTCTCTGTAGTCCCATTTCGATAAATCTTCCGGCAATGCTAAGTGAGGTAAACCGAATGCAAAGATTAAATCAAAATTGTGCGGAACTGCGATCCAATCCGGTATACCTTCGTTAGCTATATCAGAAAATGGTTTTAAATCAAATCTATACAAGTACACTGGAGCGTGCTTACTAATAAATTGTGCCAATTGATATGTTGTTGCTCCATGAACTTTGTCAGTATAAAAATCTAAAAATAACTTCCTTAACACAGTTTCATTCGATGTAGGAGGTATAGGTTTGTAAAAGAAAGCGACAGCATCTTGTATGTGATGTTGGTTTGTAAAACATGAGCTATTATCAACGGTAATATCGGTGAGAATTATTTCTTCCCTCATTATATCAAATTCACGTTGACTTATGCCTGAATCTTCAGAATTATTATTATCCAGCAATAATGCGTCCTCCATATTTGTAAATCCTGTTAGAACCGGGACCGGTGTGAAAATTTCATCTTTAAATAACCGACTTGGTAAATCAGGTAAAAATGGCTGGGAAGTATTACTAAAGTTTACATCAACTATGGGCTTCCAAGCTGATATCGGTTCTCCAATATCAAGAAGTGCTTGGTAATTGACTCTTCTAAGGCAATCTATAAGTTGGAATGTTGGTTTCCTAAAGCAACTAAAAGCGGTTGCCACTTTATCTACAGTTGTTATTTCTTTTCTTGCAATGTTGACAGTTTCTGGTGATAGCACATTGCCACTCATGGCTATTGCTTTTTGGAATAACCCAGAAGAATACGACGATAGTAAATGCAAGCCAACACTAACAGCTCCCGCGTCGTGACCGAATATACAAACATTATCTGGATCGCCTCCAAAGTTTGCAATGTTATTTTTTACCCAGTGTAGGGCTGCCACTTGGTCCATTAAACCAAAATTTCCGGGTGCTTCATTATCTAACGTAGAAAAGAAGCCAAATATATTCAGACGGTAGGCGACGGAGATAAAAATGACCTGAAACAATTACATCAATTACATTTTTAGAAAATTAAAATTTAACATACTGATATTTATCTAAAGAATGCATAGTAAGAGAATATTGTAGGTATTTTGTGGATTATTGGAATTTATGTTTCCTTACGATAACAGCCGATAATTAACTGTAAAATTTAAAAAAAAAAACAATAGCCATACCTTTTGTTTTAATACAATTTGGAAGGGATTAAGAGCATTTGGGCTGCCACGTATGAAGTCCCCGCCATGAAACCACACCATCGTTGGATATCCCTCCACTTTAAAATCTGGAATATAAAAGCAATGCTCTAGGAGTGTAAATTAAAAAAAAACATTAAAAAAAATACTGTTTCAGAATCACATTAATATAAAAAGTTGTAAGAAACAAACACCGCAATCAAAGAACTCAAATTAATTATAATGGTATTTGAATAATTTAATCTTTATGAATTTGTTTTCTTAAAACTCGTTAAATTATTTCTTAAACTCAAGTTGACTTTCCGAGTAGCTTATGTTACGAGAAAAGAACACTGAAGGTCAAGCTAGCGATAACTGTGCAAAAAATGCTAGGAAACAATTTGTAGCAAATAACCGTTGAGCGGAAACATACGTTTCTTTTCAACCGTTGAATTATTATTCAGGTCAGAAATGAGATTAAGGTTAGGTCGACAAGTCAAAGTGCCCCTAACGAGTAAGCTATTGGCACGGAATTCTTGCATTAATGACTGGAATTTACTTCAAAACCGCGATGTTTAATAGACTGCATTGTTATTATGTGTTCGCAGAAGTAGGTTACGCTTTTTTAATGCACACACGAATGGAAAATAGAAATAATTGCATTAAATGATTCTTTAGATATTTCAAAGCATACGCTTTTAATTTCTGGAATACATGTTTTATTAATATTACCTACGTTCTTTATAAAATTCTTCATTTCTTGAAACTGTCTGACGTTTTATTTTGTAAATATAATAAATCGTGTGTACAATATTACTTCATTTTGACGTTAGAATTAAAAGATAGAAGAAAGGGAGAATTCCTAGTTATAGCATATAAGGTTCTTTTTGCGCTATAATATTACAATACCCATAGTTCTTCTGTAATAACTTAAAAATTAACTTTATCAATTTTATATGTTTATTTATAACACTAGTGGAATGTACCCTTAAACAATCAATACCTTATAACCCGTTGAGAAAATTTAACCTCAAACTGTAGCGCGTATACGAAAGTAATTATTATGCGTGGTTTATTCAAATTTCCAGCGTAACATTGCGACGCCGTCACGCATACTCTGCCCGCAGTTTAATTACTGCCTTCTAATATGTACGTGTATATATGACATTTTTAACACAGGGTTACTGCTACGATTATGAATTTAATAAGAAGACTTGACACTTGTAATCTTGCACACTCTCTGTGGTAACAAAGGTAACAAAAAGTACAGTTGCAGGAAGCCGCGGTGGTCCACTTATAGAAAAATTGCTTTGTACCTTGGAAGAAGACTAACTGCACCTCTATTTACAAATGACCAATTGGATAGGAGTTGATTGCGTAAATAAATAGCATGACTTGCGTTGAAATATAACCGTTTTTCTTACAATCATATTTTAAAGTTACGTCCTATTTCTAATTTTTCCAGGTATTGATGAGTACATAATGTTTAAAAAACTATAGCTTTAAAAGTGGAACATCGTCGGATTTCCTGACTGTGCATGTAAAAGTAACGAATTTCTACAAAAGTGTTAATAGAATAGGCAAATTTATAGAACTCAATGTAGGCTACATTTAAGTCATTAAAACCTCTTACTATTTTTCCAGTGATATTCTTCTGTATAAAATCAGAAATAAGAATTGTTATATTATTTTCATGTGACAACCCTAATCTACATTATTCTGTGCCTTTTGATTTCGCCATACCAGATTAACAAGGCGAGAATTACCTACATACAAGTTGAAGGGGTTAAATAACGTATGAAGATTTAATAAGCCACGTCTTTTATTCCAATGTAGTGTAGGAAAAAAGTAAGTAGGTTCTTTTTACCATGTTTTATATCCCCAACGTGATAGGGTAAACCTTTCACCTAACGTGTTTGACGTTTTTAGATAAAAAATATTTCGTCAAACACGCGGGAGGAAATCCATTCCTAGTTTTAACTGTGATTTGTGTTTAAATGATTAATGAAATATAATACTTTTTATAATTATTTAATGGAATTGCCTAAAATCGTCCAAATTTTATATTACAATTACCGAATCTTTTTTTATTTTAAATAAATTGTAAACATAGACATGAACACAACGCAAAAATATAAACGTTTTGTTTTACGGATTTCGTTCAGCCGTATTCATATATTTTTCAAACGGTTTTAATTCGCTTTCACGGCATTGTGCAGGAGGCGTTATAATTTATTAAAACTTTATTAGCATTGCATTTGTCGGCGCTAAGGCTCGCTGACAGGGCGGGTTATCGTTATATCGAACATGGCCGCACACGTGATTCAGTGTGGGAATGTTGAGCGCTGAATTGTTAATGATGGAAAGGGTCAAAGAATTAATTTACAGTGTCAATTAAATTAAATGTATAACTAATGTAGTTTGTGTTCTATTCGAAACGGAATCAATCAATATCTGTTTTCTTAGAGATTATTAAAAACTGGCTGTTATCCGCGACTTCGCCTACGCAGGTCGAAAACGGCCCAGTCGTATCGGACAGTACCGTGAACAAACGCGATTTTCGGACACACAGCCAAAAAATTTAAATACGAAATGCTTTATCAGCACCGCCAATATCTTACCGATATCTGGAATTTTTCTTTTAGTATTACAGACACTTTAATTTTATGATATGTAATAAAAATAATGTCCAAAATATTAGACCACGCTTGGACCATGTTAAATAAAATTCATGTTCCTACCTCTGGGTCGCTTAATCTCTTTGTTTTAGCGTGATATACTCGTATACGTATTAGAATAATCACAGAAATTTAAAACGATTTCTAAGTCGGACTAATACCCACTTGAGTCGCGTACGAAAAGGTCCGTCAATTTTAAAAGGTTCGGGAACTTTCGAAACGCCATCAAAAACTTACTGGATGGCGAAGATCAAAGAATAATAGAGGGATTGAAAATTAATCGGTAAAGTCTTGAGACGTGATTTTTATGTTTATAAAAGCGTTACTAAAATAAACGATTATAAAATATATTTCGCCAGACAACAATAAATTCCAAAGAATGCTAGAGTAAAACCATTATGTAGTAAGTTATGATAATGTATTTTCGATACTCTATTATTGAAAACAGAGTAAAATTACTATAAATATTAAGTACCTTCTCATAAAATACCTTCTGATTTAAAGTACAAAAATTTTTTTATCTCTTCTCAAGTTAAGTCCAAAAATAAGACTAAAGTCAATAAAACCTGTTCTATACAATAATGTATTTCTATCTTTGTTATTTTAGTGGGTATGAAATGACATAACATTTTACACTTATTTCAGTAGTAAAAGAAAATATGAATAAACTCGCAAAGGAAAAATAAGAACATTCCTTCTGACGGACTCCAAATATTTTCTTCCGTCTCAAAAATCTTTCGTAAATTACCAATATCGATACTTCAAACTTTTATCGAGAAAAGTAATCTTAAAGAAAAAAGTTTTAATGAAAAAACTAGATTCGTTACCTTCAAACTTGTGTAAGGAAGTAAATTAGTCCAATGTTATAAGTTCATACGGTAAAATTGACTTCGAATATCCAAATATGATGGATGAAATATACTAAGTTAACATTTATTAGCTCGTAAAAGGTTCCTTTTTAACTAAATTATTTCTATTAATAATCCCTAATTAAACAATATAAGCTTTGCCATTAGTTTTTTTTCATAACTTAATAAAATGCATTCATTAAATTCAAAATAATATAGTACCCAGTAATTGATAGTCTCGGCTTTGATTCCTTTTTTATGCAAACATTTTAAATTTGCTTCGGACTTGTAATATACTACACCAACGTCTACTAATTATATTCAAAATTAATGTTCTGTCTGAAAAATAAACAGTTCGTTGATCAACTAGTCAATTACTAGTACTTTTAGTCTACCTGCATTCTTTCATTTTTAATATTCCATACTTTTTTCTATCTAGTATTTGTATGAAGAAATATTAAACATATCGTATTAAAGAATGATATTAACAAATTGACTTATCATATTTTATTATAATATATAAAAAGAGGATGTAAAAAAGGTTTAACACTCCGGAACCACGACATGAAAGTGAACAAAAGGTTGCTGATTACAGGTACAAGTTTCCTTTCTTTTGAGAAGGTAATGGTGCGTTCTTTCAGCCCCTCCTTAATGCCTTTCGGTGGTTTCATATTTACCTGAAATATTTTCCTTTAAGATGTGATACTACAATAGCGGAGAATAATATTTTATGAAACAATGTTCTTTCAAAATTTTGTATTGGTAAATACCAGGTTTTGTCCCGCTAGGAAAAAACTTAGTAAGTAACCTGTGTGTAAATTTTTTTTGAGATACGTTATTAAGTCAATTAAGTCGTAATGTTATAAATACGAAGGTTTGGATGGATGGTAAGTAACGATGTATCTCCGGTATGGCACAACGGATCTCTAAACACATAAATACGCTACAAATTGAGTTTTTTAATTCCGCGCGGATAAAGTCACGGACAACAGCTAGCACAAAAATAAACTATAAGAACATTTTCTAAGTAAATCTAATTCTGTCGTTCTATCAACTTTGGTATTTCACTGATACAATAATGGTAGGAATAAATATGATTCATTGCTTTGAAAACTATCGGTCTTAAATCAACTGAGGGGAGGCCTAGAATACCGCCGAACAAAACTTGATATACACGGCCGTAAAACGAATTTCTTATCTGATCAAAGGGAGACCATTTGGTATTTGTAAACTAGGTTAATAAAGGACGGAGCGAAAATCTTTATAGTGTACCCTATTTTCCCTTAAATTATCTTACCGCTGTCTTAAACTAAAATATTCTTCAAAGATATCCTAACGTTTGTAAGTAGAAAATCTAATAATTCTAAAACAACATACACTTACTTTTATTTTCTGAAGTACAAATAAAAATTTTGAGATTGAGTGGAAATAATTCATTTTAACAAAACTAAATTCAGCAAGCGTTTTTTTAAATTTCAAACGTTCGTTCTGATCATTCTACCAATAGAAAGTGGATTTGACACAAACAAACAAATCTCAATTTAAAAAAAAATCAACAAGACTGTAAAAGGTACTTTACCATCTGGAACATAAACATTTAGGTAAAGACAATCTTCTGAATATTCCTTTTGTCTAGGCTCCTCCATCTGGGACTCCAAGAGCTTCATAAACAAATCGTCATGTTTGTTCAAAGGGTTCTGTACATCTTCTTGCTTAGGGTCTCTTTGCATACAATCTGGTGCATACACTGTGGCATTCTTTACACCTTCCCATACTGGTAAATCAGTGTATTCTGGTGGAGTGAATCTTCTGTAGTCTATAGGCGGCTGTGCATATGGAATACCAATATATGCTGCTATCCTCTTAGTTCGAAACCTGGTCAAATACATCCCTGATATCATTCCTTGGTTAGCTAACATAACCTGTTTTGGTTCTCTAGCCGATAGGACTTCGGACACGAACAGTAACAACACTATTGCATAAATCATTTTCACTACTCACTGATTTAATTTCAATTGTTTTATTTGTCACGTGCGGATCTGTCGCGGTTACACGAATGTATGGACATTGTTAAAAGGGAGCCCTCAGGGCGGTGTTGGCAGTGGGCGCCAACTCGGTTGGTGCGTTACTGTTTCTCGTGCAGACTTTGGCTCGTAAACAGTGGGGCTATCCGTCGTTATAGCGACCAAGGAATTGCTTTTGTGCCTTAAGTATTTACATAGACTGGACATTAATGATAATGAAAATTTCATTACCTTTAAAAACAAATTTATATTACGAGAAAGGTATTTTTCCCCAGAACTACATATTTGTCATGTCGAATTGAGTGATTAAAGAATTCTGCATAAACTTTGCATCGATTAGCACGTGATGAACATTCAATATTGTTATGATTCTAGTCATCGAGATCATAGTTAGTTTGTTATGATCCATACTTAGTTCAGCTTATTAAACCCCGTTTCTTTTTCCTCTATCAACTTCATTCTTTTTTTCTCATACTACGGCCCATAACATTTAACATGTTGTGATCTAATAAAAATATTCATTTTTAACTATCGACTCTAAATATTCTTATATCTGCAACAATAGGCAGTAAGCTTGCGACGCGAACGGATCGCGTGACTGTAAGCTAAGCTTTGGAGTCAATGCATTCGCTTTTCGTTTTTTTGTTTCGCTTCGCATCATCTCCCCTTTTATAGGTCAATGCGACTAAAATATTGATTAACAAGTATTCTGAAATATTTGTCGTCAGATTTTCCACCTCACCTTCAAAATTTTTGGTGTCACGAGGCCGAGTAACAATTGTCCAGAATTATAAGATTATTCTAAACTAAATAAGCACGAAAATTTTATTAAAATTATAACGCCTTTAAGAAAAATTTATATCAAAAGTAATCTTCTCTCCAAGAGCGCGATTTTGCTAAGTTTTAAATCCAATCAAAGTCAAATAAATGTTACAAAGTTATCTAGACAAAGGCGCGCGGTAAACGTCTAAAAAACAACTGTTATTACTCACTTTCCTTTTTTAATCCCAATAGAAGTTTGGTCTTTTTAACAATATTAATAAAAATGTACGTTTAGTTTTAGTTTTTTGTAAAGTTTAAATAATCCATACTAATATTATAAATGCGAAAGTTTAGATCGATGGATGTTTGTTAGAGTTTGTAGCCTTAAGTATAGATGTAGAGGATAGTCTAGAAGAACACATAGGCTACTCTCTCACGTTGTTTTTTTTATATTCCATGATAACGGAGTCGCGGGCGAAAGTGCAAAATATTTATCATAGAATTAGGTGAAGCCTCATTGGTACTTGAAACAGTTAAAATTGCGTTGTATGTTAATCTTTGTGAATACTGTTTAGTTAAGAAGGAGATTGATGTTACAAGAATAAATTACTTCGCAAAATGAAAAACTTGGCACATTCACATGAGGAAGGGTTGCTGTTTAAATAATTGCTTGTTGGTTCATTTTAATATCTCACAGTAAATTCAGAGTAACATAGATAAATGCAGTTAATACTTAGATTATAAAATTAGCAAAATTTTCAAAATAATAATTATAATTTCCTTCGACATTGTTCTTTTTTTCGGTGTTAGTGTTTGCCTTGAAGAGGCATTTATAGCTTCACTAGGATTAAAATGGCCGGTACAAAACGGCGCTTAGTTAAAGCTCGTTTAGGAGTAACTGAGCTCGAGGGTTCCCTCTAAAGCTTGGCTCGGGCTGTTACTTTAACATAATTACCGGCTTGAAAACCAGTCATTATATCTCAGCACAGAAGGTTTTTGTCATCTAAATCATCTGTCATTTCAATCGTTACTACCTTCTTCATACTTTTGTACTTGTGACCTATGGCTTTCCCCGCGACTCGAAACAAAAGTAGCCTATGTGACCTATATTATGATCTTTACCTATCCTAAATTTCATAGAGATCCGTCCAGTCGTTTAGGCGTCAAACTATAACAAACATCCATCCCTTCATCTAAACTTTCGCATTTATAATGTTATTAAAATAGATTCAAAAAGAATGTTACATATACAGCAAATCTACTATTTACTATACTATTTAAAGAATTGAAAGGCAGTCTTAACCTTGGATAAAAGTCATTCACTTCTTTAAACATGTAAGATAGCGATTTCAAATGTTACATTGCAAATCAAAGTGACCGGACCTTGTCCGCTTGCCAAAATGTTAAGTCGGACAATAAGTGGGGCACCCGAAAAGGTAGACAATAACCTATTATAACACACAAAAGTGAAGTTTAAAAATAAACCTATAGGTTTAATACAAAAAAAAGTACTTCAGAACTTGTATTTCTCAAGTTAAAAAGTACTATAGATTATTTAAAATAAAAATAATAATGTATCATTTAGGCCTAGATGTAAGGAATTAACGACTACCTTAGTGCAGGTTCTTGTTGAATGAAAATTCGTTCGTTTATAACTCAAACTCTTTGTTTCTTTTAACGCAAATATAATTGAAAAGCTTGTTTTTCTGTTTGCCCTTTCTATTTCAACCTTGAGATGTCTTTCTAGCTTATTATAATCTTCAGTAGCACAAATTATACAGCTGTATGATTTATAATAATTGGATAGTAAGAGTCGGAAATGGTCACCTTGACATTTAACTAAAAGAAAAGTGATCGATTACATTTTGCACACTAAAACAATTGAATAAAAGTCTTCATTTGTTTTGTATCTGTTTGTACATAAAATTCCAAGGTCATTGTCATGTCAAGTTACAATTATAACTTTTGTGCAAAGATGAAATTGTTTATAGTGTAGAGCGCTGTTTTATGTTTTTTGCCCCGTGGAGTCAAGATCTTTTTTAAATTATCTGACTGAACCTTTCTGTAAATAGATACTCCAACAAAACAATATTTCGTGATTTTACTTCAAATCTTACGTATTTGTACATGGCTTCGAAAACAATAAAATTCCCCGAACTGAAAGTCGGTTCAAGGTGTTTTTTCCGGCGACAAACTTTATCAGATTTTCTAACTACTGTAAGAATTAGCTTTTTTTTACTTTAAGTCGTTTTTTGTTTTAAAGTTTTCATGACTCACGTAAGCTCGTTTTAAAACGATATAAGAAAAAATTAATTTACGTTATAAATTACTTCTTGATTCATTTATAATTTAATGTGCCTACCATTACGTCAATTTAAAGAAAATTGCTTTACATTTCATAGGAAAATATTTTTAAAAAGAAATTAACATAAAATTATGTACACAATATGTGCGTAAATTTACATAGATAGATGGATGAATGGATGGATGTTTGTTAGTGTTTGTAGCCTAAACGACTGAATGGATTTCAATGAAATTTGGCATAGATGTAGATCATAGTCTGGAAGAACACATAGTCTACCTACTTTTGTTTTTTAAATTCCAAGCGAACGGAGTCGCGGGTGAAAGCTAGTTATATTATAAATGCGAAAGTTTAGATGGATGGTGCATGATAGAGTTTTTAGCCTATACGGCGGATCGGATCTAGATGATATTTGGCATAGATGTATAATGTAGTCTGGAAAAACACATAGGTTGTTTACTAAGTTTTTTTTTTTATTTGCGTGTAGCTAGAATTACGAGCGAAAACTGTTATAAAACTATTTTAATGGTTTACTTAGCTATTTATTGATTGTGCGTCAAAAAAGTCTGGTATAACCCGAGGGTAAGGGTTTCGCCGCGACCTATATCAGAATCACGCCTCAAAAGACGCGATGTCATCCATGAAAATTGAAATCAAATAATATCATATATTTGCGCATATCTTTCTCCATATGTTAATACTAGCTGTTGCCCGCGACTTCGTCCACGCAATATTAAGATAAAAAAGTAGCCTAAAATATCCGTCTATGTCAGTTACCCTTCAGTGTGTCGGCCCAGCCGTTTCGAAGATTACCTAGCACAAACGCGGCTTGCGGACAGACAGAAAAAAGATTTTTTAAAACGATTTTCGTTATTAGCAACGCAAATATCATCTTTCCGATATCTGGATTTTGTACATTACAGACACTCTAATTTAACTATATGTATAGATAACTTCTATTTCATAATAGTTTAAAAAAAAACTTTTAGCTTGTAATATTGAAATATCAAAATTATTAAGAAATTACTTCATTTGACTTTAGTTAGTGTAGTGTTTAAAACAGTCTAATGCTTATTTCTCATACTAAATTTATCTGTCAATTATAAATTAAAGATTTTCGCCTTTAAGAATTCAACAAATTAAATCTGTATTCAAATTTTGTTACCACTGCAATGCGATTGCTTTGATAACATACCAAGCTAATACAGGGCTTTTTGTGACCTTGTTTTTGGGGCTTGTATTGACCGACCCTAGCATTGACTAATGTAATAAACAGTTCAAGGCAACATTTAACTGCCCAAAAACGACTAATAAAACTTAATCAGATTGTTCTTTGCCTTTCAACCTTTTTCAAAATTATATAACAAATGATAAAAAGTCACGCCATTTAAACTACGATAGCGAAGTGACACAAAATGCGATGTCATAACGTTACCTTTACTTGTAGAGAGAGCGCACAACTTTGACTAAACTATCGCACAACTATTGTGCGATTGTCGATTGTTTTAACAAATTTAATTGTTTAGTTGCACAACTAAATCGAGTACTGTGCGCACCTCCATATAAGCTCATAGGAATCAAATCACGACTCGACAATTGTGCGAAAATTCAGTCAAAAGTGTGCGCGCGCTTTTATTGTGTTACTTATGATCTCCCGCGACTTCGTCAGCGCGTAATTATAAAAAGTAGCCCACGATACTCCCGCATGCATCAGCCAACTTTCCGTCAAAATCTCATCATATTCGGATCAGACGAAAATTACCAGTAACAAACACGACCCTGCAGAAAGACAGACTAAAATTTTTAAAAATGGCTTTAAGTTATTAGCAACGTAAATACGTTAAGTTTACGAAATGTTATTTATTCTCAGTATTACATACCGACTTCAATCTTATAATAATGTATAGGAAATTCATAAACAATGATATACTTGGGGTTCCAACAGTGGAATCAACTGGTTTGCTGTCACTGTTATTTACAAACATTATGAGT